ACCGACTGCCTCCGATGGAACCTTCTGCGTAGCTTGAACGGCGTGATTGAACTTGACGAGTGTACCCTGGCCGTTGGGCCCACTGGTCCCGACTTGGCATCGCTTGGGATCATTGCAGGCAAGATGTACGCCATGCTGTCGGATGATTAAGCAGTAATGGATGTATCTTCGTTGTGATGCTAACAAGTTAGTGGGCTCTGGCGCAACAGTCACCAAATCAGTGTAATCATGCATTACTGAGAATGCTCGTACTGTTCGAGTTGCCGTGAGCCGTGAGTCGTGGTAGTTGGGTGGTTGGGGCTGCCCCGAAGTGCTGATGTTCTGTCTTTCCGAATGTAGTGATATTATTTGTATCAGTTCTCGGACTTATATGGTAGTGTGAGGTGTGCGTTTGCTTAATTATTAATAATTGTGTCCTTTGCCCTACTATGCCGAACAAGCTAGCAAGATGCAAATGCTTTTTGTATTACGTAGAAAATGAAAACTATCAATCTTCCGACAACAAGGCATAAATCTTGCCAGTAATGGTGCGAAGGGAAGCTGACGTGGGTACATTGCCTTCGATGACCAGGCTGCACGTTTCCTTTTCGATCTTGTCGTCCAGGCTTCGAAGAAACCACCATCGGGTATAGTTGGTGACAATGCCAAACACTTCGTGGAGGTTGCAAACTTCAGCCTGGACTTCGCATCCGAGCAGAGCTTGCGCCATCCCTTGCCACAAGTCGGTCGACTTGGCCTCGACAATGCAGACGTTCTTCTTCTTCCCACCGCGGAGAACAAACTCAAAACGCCCCTGAGCCTTGACATCTCGGCCATGCATCTTCTTTTCTGTTGTGATCCGCACATCGCCGTCGAAGAGGGAGCAGACGCAGAACAGGATCGGTGCAATTAGGTGCACTCGCTGCGCTTCGTTGCCCTCACTGATTGGCCCCAAGCACGTCGATGCCATCTTGAGATACCGGGCTAGAAAGTCGAGATTTTCTGGTGGCAGTTCGATGCTGGGTTGCGTGTACGGCGTTGGTTCAAACACATCTTTGACATCCAACCACTTGACACTGGAGAATGCCACCACACCCACTCCAGTCATCCCGAGCTTGTCTTCGAGGATCGCGTTCAATGTATCCCAACGTTCTTGTCGCGAGGAACTGGGCGTCGTGCGGCGCACTTTGAGCGCTCCAGGTTGAACCACAGCGCCCGGGGCGACCACCAGAATGTGAACCCCTTGAGCGTCGTGCGCATTGGCCTCGTCGAAATAGCTGGAAACCTTGGATCCATCGACCATTTGCGTGGTAGATCCGCCAAAGGTCGCCAAAGTGCACGTTGATGCGTCCACCGGAGTCCCGTTGAACACAACCTGTGTGCCCGCTCCGTGCGTCGCACCCTCCACACGGTACAGCTCCACGGCATCGGCTTGGCACCCATGTATGAACTCGTTCGTGAACGCGATCTTGACGTCATGGACGGTCTCGTCGGCATCAATTTGGGCCGAGAAGATGTGTCCGTCGCCAACCACGACGCATGTCAAGTCGAGCATATTTGAAAATGAACCTTTGTTGTTGTGGTTCAATCAGTCGGTTCAATCGCTGAGAGAAAACAGTGGTCTTGTTGACGTTGCACATTGATATTCGAAGCTCGAGTACGTGCATCCTTTGCAGTTAAATGCCTGAAGAAAATGGGCTCTGCAACTCTCGGGATACGTTCAGTTTGTCAAGCTAGCAGAGTTCTGTGTTAATTCTACAGGGTTGCATCAATCGACGATCGTTGACTTTAAACGGTGGATCGACAGTTGTATACTCGGGGAATTACATTGTCTTCGTTGGGGGCATACTGTGTCGCAATTACCGCTTATTTTCACCATTTCTTATTCCAATAACGGATGAATTATATGGATGGTTGGAAGTGCATATAAGCACTGCGATTCGAATACTACGTAACGTTTTACTACTGTAGTAAAAATGTATGAATAAATACTTTGTGTTGTGGTTGGAAATCGTAATGCAAGTTCCACTACCTTCATTATTTTATCCAATCAATGAACGTTATGGTTTTGATTGGACATAAATACACTGAGACTGACATACTTGTGCCTCGTATCACTCACCTTGGAGAGGTGCAGTCGTCGACACAATGTTGCACAATGCCCAAAAGGCGCACATGATTCCATGGGTATCATTACGCGACGCACGAGTTGGTGGTGGTATACAGGATTATTAACTTGGTTGAAAAACCCACTTTGCATCACTTGGTACGTAATCGCTACAAATAAACACGTAGCATGAGGAGATGAGTGAATTGGTTGTTCCTCTTAGCATCAGCCATCCTCCAAATCTTCCTTGCACGCCGATGGGACCCCAGCATCAAATGGTACAATCAAATATCACTGCCACACATCATAATCCGTTTTCACACAACTTAGAAGTGTATTTGATGGAGTGGTGGTGAGATGCGCAGTGCCGGTGGTTACAAGCGCTGCGCATGTAATCACCATGCCACCAAGTACCCTTCTAGTGAACAAAGTAGTGTGAAAACTTGGTGCCCGTTGGTGGTCGATTTAGAGGAAACAGAGTCGATGTGACATGGCTAGTCCTGATGATGTACTGCATGTACTGTACAATGGAGTGATGGGGTGGTCACATGTGCAGCAATCGTAGTCACTAGGGTAATGTTAGCAGGGTTTTGGGCATTATTCTGGAGCGTAGGGATGGGGTGGTAGTGGTGGGTGGTAATCACTTTGACTGCTAGTCAGTACCACCACCAACCACGCTCCAGGATAACGATAGTCAAAGTCACAACTACCGTTCCCCGGTAGTTGTGACTGCTGGGGCTCCAGAGGCCGTGACTGGGGTTCATTACTATGTCTACAGTACAGTACTCCTGATCTCGACAGTGGAGCTGTATGGTGGTGATTGCAAGGTAGCTGTTGCCGTGCCATGCTACGAGAGTAGAAGTTGAGGTAACAGGAGTTGGTTAGGCAGGATGGGTGGGTGTGGGTTGTATGCGTTATTTGGTGAGCATATGCCGTGGCCGCAGGAGCGGCGGTGGTGGTCGTGGTAGTGTAGCCAGGTTCCGGGGTCGTCCGGTACTACTGTACGTCCTCCTAAGCTTACGAATCGTACGCTTAGGAGGACGAATCGAGTGCGCAGGCTCCACCGTTGTGGTGACGTGATATCACGGAGAGCCGAAGCGCAAACGCCAGGTAAGCTCAGCACGATGGCGTACTACATATGTAATAGTACGTCATCAAACAAGTATCGTCTTGGAAGCTTGAATACCTATTTTCTAGCGATGTGATTGGCCCAATGAAACGTAGTGCAATATGCATTACGTTTTCCCTGTTTGCTTGAACAAATAGTTTCTCAAATTTAATCACTAGGCATTTGTAAGTAAAATTAATTAAATCCTGGCCAATGTGTTTTCAACAAATCGAAAATATAATGCGTCGTGCATTACGATACCGTTATTTTCGCCCATATTTCATGTCATTTTCTGGATTATGTGCATAATTTTTTCACAATTTCTCTGTTCCGGATAAAAGTGGTTCAAGAATTCTCAGGACCTCAAATTAGGCATTAGTTACTTACTGGAAGCAATACAATGCTGTCACCAAAGGACAATGTTAGCCATAACCAGCATTGACGGGGCTATTCCTCTTGACATCGTGTTGAAACCCGCGTTACATCGCGTGGTGAATCTCAACTTCAGACGTAAGTGTTCAGCTATACAAAACTTCTACAGGGAAGGACATTATCCAGTACTATGTAGTATCAAGGAGAATTAATGTTCACATTTTAAACATTTTTTCTTTTAGTGGAATTATATAATTAAATACTACTTCCTCTGTTTCACATTACTTTTACGATATG